TTAGTAACAGAAAGGTTGGAGGTTTGAGTTCCCCTAGAGGTGGCTCAGAAAAACCCAAACCCAAACCTGTGGTTGTTATGTGCCGTGGAGTCGGTTCAGACTCATAGCAACCCTGTACAGGGTTTCCGAGGCTGTTAATCTTCACGGCGCAGAAAGCCTCATCTTTCTCCCATAGAACAGCTGGTAGTTTTGAACTGCTGTCCCTGAGGTTCGCAGCCCGAAACGTAACCACTACGCTACCAGAGCTCCTTCCTGTTGTTATTCTTGCATTCCGTGGAGTCGGTTCTGACTCATAGCGACCTGTTGTTGTTAAGTGCCATCGAGTCGGTTCCAACCCATAGCGACCCTGTACAGGGTTTCCGAGGCTGTAAATCTTTACGGGAGCAGAAAGCCTCCTCTTTCTCCCGCAGAGCAGCTAGTAGTTTCGAACTGCTGACCTTGCGGTTCATAGCCCGATTCGTAACCACTACACTACCAGAGCTCCTTCATAGCAACCTACTACCATCGAATTCATTCCAACTCCATGTAACCCTATATAGAGTTTCTGAGACGATAAGTCTTCAGGGAAGTAGATACCTCATCTTTCTCCCATGGAACCACTGATGGATTTGAACTGCTGACCTTGTGAATCGCAGTCCAGCGCTTATCCTACAGAACCACTAGAGCGCCTTAGCTCAGAAGAAAGACCTGGTGATCTATTCCAAAATATCTGCCATTGGTAACGCTATGGCGCACAATTCTACTCTGACGCACGTGAGGTCATGAGTCAGCAGTGACTTGGTGGCAATGGTTAGAAAAACGTTACTGCTCCTAATTCACCAGCTTTCCAGCTCATGTTTGCTTGTCACTGTGAGCCTGGCATGAAGAGGCAGAATCCTCAGTCAGTGGTGGATCTTGCGGGTACCCCACCTGGGTGCTCTATCCCAGAGCTGACTGAAGGGGCCACTTACATTTCCATGTAACCCCTTACTCTGCTTTCAGGGGTGTGTTGTGGGACTATGCTTACAGACTGCCAAGTCTCCCCACGCAGTGAGTACAGCTGTGCAGCTAGACAGACCTGCTGGGGCAGCAGGATGGAGCAAGACTGGACATTTGACCGCAGAAGATGGCCAGGGCTGGGTGCTAAGGGGAGCTGTCTGGAGGAGGAGGTCCTCGATAAGAGGATCCCAGCTAGAGCTGGCCTTGGGCAGCAGGGGGAGCACAGTGCTCACTGAGCATGTATGGGACCTAGAAACAGTTACAGTTGCCAGTGAGCTGATGTAACTCAAGGGAACTCTGTGCTCCCTAGAGTTTTCAATGGCTAACTTTTCAAGGGTGCCTCATCAGGACTTTTGAGGTGACTCTGGATGTACAAAGTTTGGGTTAGCAGCTGAGCATGTTAACCATTCACACCACCCAGGGAGTCCAAGTCCCAGAAAAGGGGCTGAGACAGCTGGTCTTCCACTTTTGTTTTCCTTTCTCCTTCCCTCTCTGTTTAAGTCTCTTAAGAATGGAAAACTGATGCGTGAGTCTGAAAAGACCAATAGGGTGTTAGGCTGAGGGCAGTGGAAGTGGCTGATGGGGTGGCCAAGCATCCAGGTTTGCTTGGATTGGGGATTGTCTAGGATTTGGGTTTCCCAGAATTGGTTCCAAAGGTGCCCAAGATCACTAAAACCAGGAAAGACCTGAATGTATGTGGATGAATGGGTTACCCTTGAAGGTGATGTGGTTGTATTTATTGATTTTCCTATCAGAAAGTTACTTTTCATGCTAACAATACAATAGTATGGAGAGGGAACATAGTCCACACTTATGGTGTGTCTATAACTGGTTACTGCCCATGGCTGGAGGCCTAGGACAAAGGTGACCTAGAAGATCCTGGCCTCCAGGGAGTTGTTGTGTTGCTGGGCATTAGAGAAGAGGAAGGAAACCAGTGTTTATGCAGTCCCTGGGTAGCTCAAATGGCTAAGCACTCAACTACTAGTCAATAAATTGGCGGTCTGAACCCACCCGGAGGTACCTCAGAAGGAAGACCTGGTGATCTGCTTCTGAACCGTTACAGCCAAGAAAACCTGTGCACACGAGGGCACCATGAGTCAGAATCCACGTGACGGCAACTAGCAACTTTGTCCCAACATCTCACCAGGTGTTTTTGCTGTTATTTCTTTTAATCTCACAAAAACCCTACAAAGAAGCGTTTGTTGCAATTAAGGAAGACACAGAAGCTCAGAGGAATTAAGGAACTTGCAGGAGGTGGGTGAGGAAGACTTGGTACTCCCTCGGGTCTGAGGACCTCACGGGGCCCAATGAGGAAATGTTCCTTGCCACTGAGTCAGGGATGCTAAGAAAAGCAGATTACACCGAAGTCTGAGATCTCTGGAGGGCCAAAAAGGGAGAGTGGAGTGAGGCAGGGCTGGGGCCCCACTGGGACTGAACAACCACATATTGAAATGCACTGAATGATGCCAGAGCTTCAGGGCTCTGTTAGGGTTTCCTTCCCAAGGCTTCAAAACTCACCCTAACCTAGGCCTGGTGACAGAGTGATCATGTGTGACTGTGGGCTGAGGGGCTCTTGAGACTCTACCTTCCTGAGATCCAGGACAGAGAGACCCGAGGATGAGGTCTATTTGGTTCCTTCTCTTCCCTTCCCTGCAGTCTAGTCTTAGGGCCTCACAGCCAGACTGTGGACCAGGTCCTCAGAGGTGAGAGTCTTCAGTCTGCCCATCCGCCTCTCACTCTTGACTAGCGTGATGGGGATGTATTGAGAAGAGAGATGAATTTTCGTGAGCTACCTGACGGCTTCCTCTGCCCCAGTCACTCTCCCTCCAGTACACTCATGGTTCACCCTACCTCCTGCAAGCTTGCCTCAAATGCTACCTCCTGAGAACCCTGTTGAAAACTGTACCGTCTCACATCCCTTCAGTTCCCACTCAGGGGTCCCCATGTGTGCAGGTGGAGCACAGCTGCTCCATAGGTTTTCAAGGCTGTGACCTTTTGGAAGCAGATCACTAGAGCTGTCTTCAGAGGAGACTCTGGGTAGGTTTGCACCTTCAAACTTCTGGTTAGCAGTCATGAGCCACCCAAGTATTCCTCCTAATACTCTGTGCTTGATTTACAATTTTCCTGAGTACTTTTTGTTGTGTTTATTGTCTGTCTCATCCCCAGTTTCCACCCTATGCCACCCAGGGAGTCCAAGTTCATGTTCTCTGTGTCAGCAGAAATCTTCGCCTGTCTTGTTCACAAGGCAGAGCCTAAAATAGTACCAGCCACATACAAACAAAACAGAAAACATACATTTCCCTTTAGTTCATTCTGACACATAGTGACCCTACTGGACACAGTAGAACTGCCCCATAGAGTTTCCAAGGCTGTCATCTTCACAGAAGCAGACTGCCACATCCGTCTTCTGCGAAACACCTGCTGGATTTGAACCGCTGACCTTTCCATGCCCGGTCAAGTGCTTTAGTCACTGGGCCACCAGAGCTTCTTTGCCACATGGTAAATGCTCAAATATTAGTTGAGTAAATGAATGAATAAATGAGCCAGATAGCTAGAGGAAAGGGTGCCTTCAATGCCAAATGATATTTAGATTTCTAGAAGGTTGGCGGTTCAAACTCACCATCTGCTCCTCAGAAACCTGCCACAGGGTTATTATGAGTCGGGACTGACTCAATGACACTTAACAACAACAGACACAACAGAGGAGCATAGGTAAATCCGTTTCTCTCTTTGAGCCTCAATTTCCCTTCTGAACAATGAGTGGTTTGGACCACATTACAGTTTTCTAGTGTTGCTCTAATAATAGAAATACCACACACAAATGGATGGTTTCAGTGAACAGAATTTTATTTTCTCACAGTTTAGGAGACTACAGGGAAGGTTCTGTCTCTGACAGATCTTGGGGAAAATCCTTTTCTCTTAGCTTTTGCCACCCTGGTATTCCTTGATTCCTTGACTGTTTTCCTTTGGCATCTGTCTTCCCCCAGTTTGTGTATGCTTATCTCCCTGGGAGACACAAATGGTTCAGCAATTGACTACTAACTGAAAAGTTGACAGTTTGAGTTCAACCAGAGATGTCTTGGAAGGAAGGTCTGGCAATCTTCTTCCTAACGGTCATATCCTTGAAAACCCTATGGAGCAGTTGGACTCTAAAACACATGGAGTCAGCATGAATCGGAATTGACTACATGGCAACTGGTTTTTAAGTCAGAAGCGATTGGGTTTAGGACACACCATTATGGCTTCATTGTTGTTGCTGTTAAGTGCCGTCGAGTTGGTTCCGACCCATAGCGACCCTGAACAGGGTTTCCGAGTTATAAATCTTTACAGGAGCAGAAAGACTCATCTTTCTCCCGCGGAGCAGCTGGTAGTTTCAAACTGCTGACCTTGTGGTTCGTTGCCTGATTCATAACCACTATGCTACCAGCACCAAAAAACCCTTCTGCCATACAGGATTATATCCAATGTATAGTAGTTAGGATTTGGGAGATACGCAATTTAAGCCCTAACAGGCCAGCTCTGATACACAATGGCTCATGCCCAGTTGTGTCTCAGGAGTGGAAGCTGGATGAGTTAAGTGGGAGATGGATGGACCTGGGGGAGGGGCTGGGAAGTTGTGGAGCTCAGCAATAGTCCAAGGGAAGCTGATGCTAAGGGTGAAGCCAGGAGGAGCGGAGAGGAGAGGCAGCACTTGGTGATTTCATCTAGGAAGGGCCCACACAGAGGAAACAAGAGCTGCCTGCCTGGTTTGGAGCCTGTGAGCATTGGAGGGAGTTGATATCCCAGCAGCCAAACCTTTTCTCTTTTCTTACCCCGATTGATTCTCCCAGCCCTGGCCAAGAGACAACCATCATGCCGTTGACGTGAAAGTCTAGAATTTATTTGTGAGAATGTTCATATCCAGTGCTCAGAAGCTGACAGATACCCTTCACACCCCTCTTCCCAAGAAGTCCCTCCTGGGGGGAGCCCAGGGAAGTCCAGGATACAGGAACAGTGGCCTCTTGTCAAGGCAGAACCAGGGGTCAGAGGTCTTGGAGGTGGAGGGGGCGAATGTGCAGAAGGGTGGATCCTGGCTGGACTTCTGTCCTCTCCTTTCATTTGGGTTCTTGTCTCTTTAGGTGTCTCGCAACTCTGTAATAAAACAAATCCTCAATGGCTCTCTTAGCCCCTGGCCACCTCTGCCCAACCTACCACCATGTTCTCAAGCTCACCTGTCAGGGTTTGGAGCTGGTGCTCTGGTTCATAGTCATAGCTGAACTCACTGGCTGGGGGAGTCTTCATTTTCTTCCCACGCCAGGCTGCAACCCAGAGGATACTTGCTACTAGAAACTTGCTGAGAAAGATGCAGGCCAGGAGTAGAAAGACAGGAGTGTATGAGGAGAAGGCCTCTTCAGAGGGGCTCCTTAGAGAGGGAAGGAAGGCAGGTTGGGGAGATCTTGAGGTGGAGCACAGATGGGAGAAACCACAAGCTTCTGGGGGCTCAGACTGCTTTTCTCCCAGCATTCACCTCATATGGTGATCTATGGGGTTCAGGGGAGCCTGTAGTCAGGAGTCCCAAGTTCTAGTCATGGATATGCGGCTGAATTGCTGAGTGCACTGAACACATAACTTTGCCCCTCAGAGTGATTTTCTGCAGTACACGATAATATGGTGTGTGTGTGTATCTGTGTGTATATACACATGGACCATTCAGAACTGATTCTGGTCTTACCAAAGGGGTCCCTGTTTTGCAACGTCTTAACACTTTCACTGTTGCTGAATTGTGGGAGTTTGGTGAGGCTGCTGGAGAAGGGTAGAAGGTGCACAGTCAGGAGACGTGGAGCAGCAGCAATTTACAAGTTACCATGGACATAGCTCACTATTTTAATGCGTGCAGCCACATTCATCTGTACCGGCTGGCTGGAGGAGTGTTTAGACAAAACCACGACCAGGCCCTTAGATGCTCTAATTGCCTCTAGATGTGTAGTTCTGGGAGCCTCACCCTCTACCCCACACAGGGCTACGGCAAGAAGAAAGTCTGCCCAGGGGCCTTGGGGAAGTACCTGGAAATGCTGTGCTCCACTCGGGCATCCTCAAATCTCTTGGGTTCCTCGGGCACCCAGAAATCTCCGGAGTCCTGGGAGTTGAGGGGATCTGTAGGAAACAGTCTGTGAGTTTCTAGCCCCCTTATTCCTCAGGCAGTCTGCAACAGAGGGTAAGGGGAACTCTGCATGTGGGGTTAGGCCCTCTGGACTGTGTGCATCAAGCCATTTCACTTCTCTGAGTCTCAGTCTGCTCACCTGTAAAGTGGGGCAATGAAGCCAGGATTCGATGAGAGAACCTCTGAATAGTTCCCAGCACCTCCTAAGAGCTTGCAGCTCCAACACCACTTCCTATCACATAGGGCTTGATGGGGACTAGATGAAACCATGAATATATTTGAAAGTCCTATGTAAATAAACTGTCAAGCAGTCTACACAAGCTAGGATTCTTGTTGCTATTATGATTATCCTGCCATTGTCTTGGGAGTTGGCTAAGAGTACCATTGGGCTGATTCCAACTCATGTGTCCCCCATATGTTACAGAGTAGAATTGCTGCATTGGGTTTCTTGGCTGTCAAACCCACCAGCCGCTCCTCAGAAACCCTAGACAGGATCACTACGAGTTGGAACTGACTCAACGGCAATTACTAACAACAATCTTTATGGAAGGAGATTGTCAGGCCTTTCTTCCACAGCACTATGGGGCAGGTTTCGATGACCAACTTTCAGTTGTTATTGTTAAGTGCCATTGAGCTGGTTCCAACTCAAAGCAATCCTGCATAGGGTTTCCAAAGAGCAGCTGGTGGGTTTGAACTGCTGACCTTAGGTAAGAAGCCAAGTGCAAGCTGTTTATGCTACCCAAGGACCTTATAGTTGAGCCTTGTGGTAGTGATTGGCAACTCTGTATAGGGTTTCCGAGGCTGTGAATTTTTATGGGAGTGGAAAGCCTCCTTACACCTTGAAACTTCCTGTTCTTCCTACCTCCCACAGACATTTAGAGAAGTGGTGGAGGGCAGTCTACCATGCTCCCTCCCCTGAAGCCCAGGCAAATACCATTCTAGATCCTCTGTCCCATAATAGGGACCATGTTTAGGGGAGGAGTCCTCTCCTCTGTGCCTCATGGGAGCCCCTGGGGTCAGCAGGACAGACACCATGGGGCCCAAGGAAGGAAAGTAACGTGCCCTATGTCACAACAAGTGTTTTTCTGCTCCAGGTTGGTGCTTAATTGATGTTGGTAAATTTATTGGTTGGTTGGATGAGGGGTGAAATGAATCTCCTCCTACTCCTTAAAGACCACCTCCAGTGTTCACAAATGTGTCTTGGAAGAAATGCACCCAGCATGCTCCTTGGAAGTAGGGATGCTGAGACTTCATTTCACAATACTTTGGACTAATCCCCGGAAAAGGGCATCATGCTTTGCAAAGTCGAGGATCAACAAAAAAGAGGAAGAGCCTCCCAACAGAAAGAAAAGTGTCTGCCACACAATGGGCTCAAACATAACAACAATTGTGAGGATCGCACAATGCTTCGTTCTGTTGTACATAGGGTCGATATGAGTCAGAACCGACTTGACAGCACTTAACACCAACAACACAGAGTTCACTTCTTACCAGTTGCCTTCAAGTCAGTTCCAGCTCAGCTTAGAGTAGAACTCTGTTGTTGTTGTTAAGTGCCGTTGAGTCGGGTCCGACCCATAGCGACCCTGTACAGGGTTTCCGAGGGTGTAAATCTTTATGGGAGTAGAAAGCCTCATCTTTCTCCCGCGGAGCAGCTGGTAGTTTCGAACCGCTGACCTTAAGGTTCGCAGCCCGATTCATAACCACTACGCTACCAGAGCTCCTTAGAGTAGAACTCTGCTCCATATGATTTCCAATGACTGATTTGGGGGGAAGCAATCTGCTAGGCCTTTCTTCCAATGCATTTCTGGATGGACTCAAATCTCCAACCTTTCGGTTAGCAGCCAGGTGTGTTAACCCTTCGCACACACTTCATTCACATAATAATCTAATGCCAAATGCCTACGACTGTTTGGGGAAGTAGGGCTCATACAAGGAATGCCTTATGCAAATGAAAGAACGTGCCCTTCCTCCAGGTGTGCAGTCTTGTAACAGGGAGCTCAGCCTGCTGCGAGGAGTCCAGGCTGGATGTTGGTCCCCTTGTGCAAGGAGTCCCAGGTGAGGCCAATGGCTCAGCATCTGACTACTAACCAAAAGGTTAATGGTTTGAACCCACCCATAGGCTCCTCAGAAGACAGGCCTGGCATTTACATCTTTTCCAGCCTTGAAATCCTACAGAGCAGTTCTTTCTTGTCTGCAACACATGGGCTTCCATGGGTTGGAATGGACTCAGTGACATCTGGTTTGTGTGTGTGTGTGTGTGTCTGTGTGTAACCCTGAGTCAGGAGGGCAAGGTCTGCACTGTAAGTTCTCCAAGGGTATCCAAAGCCCAGCGGGTGGTAACCCTGTCCCATGGATGGATCAGAGGTGTGGTCAGCTGCCTACTCACCAGTCAACACCTCCACCAGGACCTTGCTGAGGACGTCAGCCTCACTGCCACGGAGGCTCTGGCACAGGTAGAGCCCAGCATCGTGGGCTTGAAGGTTCCGAAGTGTGACGGTGAGTGTGCCGCCCAGGACGTCGTCTGTGATGGTTGTGCTCCCATTCCGCCTCTTCAGGAAGGACAGCAGCCATGAGTGGTGGGTGCTGACCACCTGCTGGCACGGGCCTGCCTCCTCCAGCTGCCGGCACCAGGCCTTGCGTCTCTTCCAGTGCTTTGAGGAGTCGTAGGGGCAGGAGACCTGCAGGGGCCAGCCCTCCATGCCCTGGACCACCGTGGTGTTGTGGGCTCTGGACAGTCCTGTGGAGGGGACATTTGTCCACTTCTTCACTCACTTACACACTGCTGTTGACTCGATTCTGCCTACTAGCAGCCGCACGGGGCAGACTAGAACAGCCCCATGGGGTTTCCGAGCCTACAGAGCACACAGGAGCACACAGTCTCATCTTTCTCCTGAGAAGCAGCTGCTGGGTTTGAACCACTGACCTTTCAGTTAGCAGTCCAACCTTTTACCCACTGTGCCACCAGGGTCCTTCCTTCACCCATTTACCAGGTGTTTACTGAACACCTATGTGCACTGAGCAAATTAGACAAAAATCCTGCCTCTAAGGAGCTTGAATTCCTATACAGGCTGGAAGAAGGGAGCACAGCCTAGACACGAACATAGGAAGCTGTTGTTGTTTTGTGCCGTTGAGTCAGTTCTGACTTAGAGCCATCCAGTATAGGGTTGATGAGGAGCGGCTGGTGAGTTTGAACAGCTGAACTTGTGGTTCAAACTAGGAGCCAGGAAGTCTAGCTCCTGGGTCTGTTGGACTTGCTGGTCATTTTTGAAGAACCAGCTGACCTTCTATGGGCCTATTTCCAGAGACATTTGGTCTTGACATCCACTCTAGCTCTATTCTGCACATCTTCTCCCATCATATGGGGTCAAAATTTCTCTTATCTCCTCTCCACCTCAAGTGGGGCCCTGGTAGGCCTGGGGCTGGACCCATTCCCTGTCCTGGCCCAAGTTGCTTACACTGCAGCTGCCCACGCTGGTACTAGCTTCCCATACTCCATCTTTAGCTTCCAGCTTCCCCATTTCTGTGGCTTTGTTCCCCTTTCAGAAGGGATTCGTCTCAGAGCTATTTGGGGGAGACATGAGGCTGCTATTTTGGGGGCACTCCTTAAGGTGGGGCAGATGGACTTACAGCACCAGCCTATTGCCAATGTAAGGACTCCAGGGGATTCAGCTTTGACCTCAGCACCCTCTGCCCCCTGCCTCCTTGGTCCTCCTCCTCCCTTTATCCCGTCTACAAGCAGATAGTGACCGAATCTCGAAGGATGAGTCCAGGGAACTGGTGGCTTGCTGTATGGAAGTGGATGGGCTGTGTCCCTCTGCACATGTCCCCCATCCATCTCACTGCCTCAGGCCAACACATCCAGCTTCCCTCTCCACTTTGAACTAAAAAGCTATAGGAGCAAGAGCTCCTTGTGACTCCTGTCAGCCAGGTTTACCCACTGCTCTGAGGGAGCCAAAGAGACCTTTTCCTGATGGGAAGAGGTAGTTGGTTCCAAGAACTTGGAGTGTCCATCTCCCATCTCAGAGACAGACATTTTCTGCCCATCACCTCCCATCAAGGACTGAGGGCAACATGGACAAGAAGGTCTTCAAAGTTCAGGAAGAGGCTCCCTGAAGATACAGACAGCCCATCTCCCAGTCTCCTCCATCTTTTCCCTCTCACCTTCTCACTCCTCTGGGCTGACCCTATGTGTGACCTGAAGGGCCACTTTTAGAAGTCCCCTGCCTATGTGGCCAGATACATGAAGAGCTTGATACTACAGGGCTGAGGAAAGGAATAGAAGGTTATGGGAGACGACAGGGGTTACGGGGCAGGAGGATCCTCCCTTCATAGTTTGCTTAAGTTATCCTCTCAGTACCAGCTCAAGGAAGGGGAGGAAAGAGGCTTGGAGGAGGAGGAGGAGGATGGGGACCCTACCTGTGAGAGCAAGCAGCAGGACCAGCTGGAGAGGCTCCATGTCACCGTTTCTGGGGGATGATAGGCACGGGGTGCCTTGTGCAGGATGTCGTTTTCCCTTGGACTGCAGAAAGGAGAGGGCCAGGCACGTCAGGCGCTGCCCACAGGAACTGGGCTCCTGGAGATTGAGCAACTTTCAAGACTGGGGTCTGGCTTTATGATTCAGAACCAGGGTGCAGTGTGGGGAAAGGGGGAGGAGGAGCTGCCACTGCAGCCGAGGCAGCCAGCTATCCTTCAGTGTCAACAAGGCCCAGGGCTAGGGCTAGTCAGGGTCCGAGGCTGCTTGGTCTCCCTGCAGAGCCTAGTACAGGGACATGAGTCTCGCTGCTGGGTTCAGACCCTCCTGCAGCTGCTGGGCTGTCATCTAGTTTCAACCTTGCATCGGATGAAGAGCAACTGCTGTCTCTGAAGCCAGGACCCTTAGCCAGCCCCTCTAGTTTGTCTCTCTGGGGCCAACATACCTTAGTGTGACACCAGTTAAGAGCATGATAGTGAAGCCAGACTGCCTTCCAGTCCTTCCTTGTCCACTTCCTGCATGTATGAATACATGTCTGTAACCCTCTGGAAAGGTGGAGGGTCAGAGAAAACGAGGAAGACCCCAGAGAGATGAATTGTCAAAGTGGCAGCATCAATGGGCTCAAACGTGGCAACAATTGTGAAGTTGGCCCACAACCGGGCAGTGCTTCGTTCTGTTGTACATAGAGTCGCTATGAGTAGGTACCGACACGATGGCACCTAACAACAAAAACAACCCCTCTGGGTCTACAACCTATATCCATGAAGTGGGGGAAGTGGTAGTATTTAGAGTGGTTGAAAGACTAACATTCATTTCTGCAGGTAAAGTGCTTTAAAACAGCCTGCCATGAGCTAAAGAGGATAGAGAGAAACACTGTAAACTGATGATATATAGCGGGGATAATAATCAATGTAATGAAACAAGCTATATGAATGGTTGAATGTGAAGCTGATGATGTGCCCTGTAAACTTTCACTCAATGCAAAATAAAAACATTTAATTAAAAACAAAACAAAACAAAACAAAAAAAAAACAGCCTGCCATGGCGTTATGCTGTTAGGTGTTCTCAACTTGGTTCACACTCAGCGACACTATGAACAACAGAAGAAAACATTCTCTGGTCTTGTGCCGTTCTCACAATTGTTGCTAGATTTGAATCCATTGTTGCAGTTGTAGTTCATCTTCTTGATGTTCTTCCTTTTTTTCACTGACCTCTAATCTACTCTACCAAGCATGATGTCCTTCTCCAGGGAGTCCTGAAAAAAAGGTCCAAACACATGAGACCAAGCTTGTCCATTCTTGTTTCTAAGAAGACTTCTGGCTGTACTTTCAAGATAGATTTCTTTGTTCTTCTGACAGTCCGTTGTTCTTGCTGTTGTTGGGGACCATGTAATAAGTCACGACGCACAGAGACACTATGCACAACAGAGTGCAACACGGTCCAGCTCTGCATCAGCCTCACAATCTTTGTTACATTTGAGCCCATTGCTGTTGCCAATCCATCTTCTTGGGACCTTCCTCTTTTTCTTTATCTTTTTGTCTGTCTAGTTGTATCAGGAGCCACTTTATTTTACTTTTGCAATGACTCTAACGTTCACATTTCATGTTTAGTTAAGGGAAAAACAACAAAAACAAAAAGCTGGACTCCAAAGTTTCTGAGGATGTTGGTATATGCGAGAGGGTCAGCCAGGCCAAGAGAGGGACCGAGCTCAGTCTCCCAAAAGCCTGTGAGCAAACACTGTTTTCTTAAGATGGAACTTGGGAAATCTCATCAATACTTCCCAGAGTTCAGATTCTTGGAACTTGGGCCTGGAATCCAACAAGAAACACACACTTGCCTTGTGTGATCAATGCAGATCCCACACTCCACAAGGAAGCCTTCAAAAGGATCTGTTTGTTTTAGAAAGAGACAAGGACCATGATTTATGCATAAACTTAAAAAAGCGAAATGGAGAGTTTCAGAATTCTTTCAAGTTTAAACACACAATCAGTGACAAGGTGGACAACTCAAGTTTTAAAATCAGATTAATCCACAAATTCAAAATTCTGATATGAAAGCCTTAAATAATTTACAAAATACAAAGAACTGGCACACTTTGCATTTAAACTCTTATCTACACAAATGTAGTTCTATCAAGGCAACTATTGAAATACATTTATAACACATTCACTCTAAGGAAACACACAGATCAAATTACCATTAAAGGTAGTGAATGTGAAACAAAATTAAATCTTAGGAAAAAGGCAATGCTAATGAGATAATGCTAACTTTGGCAATAACTATTTTGGTTGCCATACAAGAGGGTCAGGAGGTGCATTTCTGGGGGGCGGTGCTCTATTCAGACCAGTTTCTCATGAGTGAGATGTGGCGAATGTTTTTGTACAGCTCCAGAATAGTTTCGATTCTTTGGGCTCACGTTCTGTTCCCCGGGAGCGCCCAGGTCTGGAATCAGACTATGAAGTAAGAAGACATGGCTACCAAAGGTCACTCTCCTAAATCTTGCAGCGTAGGCTGCAGTAAGAAGCCACCTTCCACCTGCTCACCTTCCAGAGCGCACCGCACAGCTCATCGGCGCCCAGGGCAGCTACGCTCCCAGCGAAGCACGCCCCCTCATTGCCTCTTTAGCCAACAGTGTGCTGCGGATGATACTGCGCTCCTAGGCCGCCCGGGGTGCGCTAGCCACCAGCACCATAAGAAGCCCCGGCCGAAGACCGAAGACGGGGCAGCGGGCAGGTGGGGACAACCGGACGGCGGGACTTCCGCAGCGCAGTTGAGAAACTGGCACCTCAGAGCAGTAGCCCGCCCAGGCCCAACACTGTCCCAGGCCCGCTACGCCTGGCGCATCAGCTTCTTGGTCTTCTCTGACCCTCCATTTTACCAAGCATAATAATTCCCTTCTCCAGGGACTGGTCCCTCCTGATAATATGTCTGAAGTATGACAGACAACGTCTGGCTATCCTGGCTTCTAAGGAGCATTCTGGCTGTATTTCTTCCTACACAGCTTTGCTTGATGGTTGTGCTCTCTGAGCCCTGGGCCCAGTGGGATGATCCTCAGAATATTGGGTTTCTACCTTCTCTCACTTACAGTGTCTCTCACTTCCAGTGTCTTCAGCACCACTCCCCACCATCTTCCCATGGGCAGTCGTGCCTGTCCTCACTTGCTTCTGCTTCCCTTTCAACTGCTGCTCTATCATGCTATGCTCCCATGGGTTCACCATCTCCATTTCCTCTCATTCGTGTGCTTCTTCTTTTAAAAAATCAAATATGTCATTATGGAGAATTCCAAACGTATGCAAAAGGAGACACAAGAATAATAAAGACCACATTCAATAGTTTATCAACATACAGCAACTTTTTTTGGTCCGTGTCTTAGTTTCCAAGAGCTGCCATTATAAAAATGCCACAAAATGAGTGGCTTCAAAGAACAGACATGTGCTGTCTCAGAGTTCTGGAGGCTAGAAATTTAACCCGGGGTATTGGCTGTGTGGACTCCTTCGGTGGGCTCTGAGAAAGTAACTGTTCCACACCCGTCTCCTAGCTTCTGGTGGCTGAGGTCATCTTTGGCATTCCTTGACTGATTTAGCTACTGTCTTCCACATGACTTCTTTTATTTGTGTGACTCTCCACAGTCTCACTCAAATCCTACTCCAGTATGATTTCGTTAACTTAACTGATAACGTCTCTTCAGAAAGACATAACTTCCAAACAAGGTCACATTCACAGACACAGAGATGGTTGTCGTTAAGTTCTGACTTATAACCACCCTGCATAGGGTTTCAGAGGAGTGACTGGTGGGTTTGACCTTGCATTTCAAAACTGACCTTGCAATTCAATGTTTATCCTACAGTGCCATACCAGGACTCCAACACAGAGATTAGGACTTCAATCTATTTTTTGATGCAATTCAATCTATAACAGTTGATTTCCTTTTCTCCCATATTGTTGTTGTTAAGTGTTGTTGAATCAGTTCTGACCCATTGTGACTCTGTATAGGATTTCCTAGGAGCGGCTGACGAGCTTGAACCGCTAACCTTGCAGCTCAAACCGACCTTGCAGTCCAGTGCATTAACTCACAGCACCACACCAGGACTCCCATATTTTTGTGTAACAAATTCTACAATAATTTCATCAATAACTATTTCAGTTAAAGATTTCTTCTTAAAATTAATTTTTTTTAATTGCCCAATTGCTGGGCCCCTTATTCCCTCTCACTCATCTGTAAAGAATCTTTTAGTTAAATTATCAGCAGTTTAATGCTTCTGTATGAACCTTCTGTTTCCAGACCTACAACCACCTCTTCTTTCTTGGCAGTTATTTCTCTCTTACATGATAGAAGGAAAGAGCCTAAAATATTTCTTTCCCTGGAGTTATTTGTGCCACAAATATTTTCTAAGCACCTACTATGTACCAGGCACCATGCTGTGTGCAGTTTTTTGCTGGAATGTTGACATTGTAAATCTGTTGTGATTGGAATCTAGAAGGTCAATACCCTGAGTTGGGGGGATAAAAAGGAGACCTTCAAATGAGTCACCAGAAAGAATTTGGGACATAGGTAGAATGGACCATCTCAACCAGAAAGGGCACTTGGAGGCTTCCAATCTGAGCATGAATTGGGAAGTCAGGATGCTGTCCTTTGAACCCACATTTTGATTGAGATCTGCCAATTGCAGATTGATTCTGCCATGACTTGAAGCAGATCTTTGAGGCGTCAGAGCGTTGTTAGGGAATTGCTGCCTTCCTGAAGAGAATTACAACAGTTTCTCCAGAGAGGGACTAGTTCCCATCACTTGCACCTTGTGGATTCCACAGATGGTGGCACTGTTTCCCTTTAATGTTAGGACTTGAGCTGAGTCGCAAGTCCTCTTAACGCTCAGAGCCCACTGGACAACTCTGGGATCTAATGAGTAAGGACTCCTGGTGGCACTGTAAGATAAGCATTGGACTGCTAATCACCAGGTCAGCAATTCAAACCCACCAGCTGCTCCTTGGAAACCCTATGAAGGGTCGCTTTGAGTCAGAACTGACTCCACGGCACATCCACACCAACAGTAAGTAACAAAGGTTTAG